AATCTCATCTTTTGGCATTATTGAATCATTTCATTAGCAGGTTTCAAGGTAAGAAAATTCAGCAGTGGAATACTATTGCCTCAGCACTAACTAGTTAGCTTGAATGTCACTGCAACTGTCTGTGAAAGATCCTCTACCACTGTTACCTTCCATTATCACTGCTGCCCACTAGCTGCTGTTTCTCTATCCTGTCACCATTAGAGATATCCATTCCGTTTTGCTGATGGAATTCTTATTGCTGTTATTCTTGCCGTTTGCTGTTATTCTTGAAGAGGGCAGATGCATCTTAGTGTTGTGTCTCAGCTTTGCCCACTTTGCCTTGAGTGACTTCGCTAGGAGACCAGCCGAGAGAGAGAGTCCGGACACTTTGGCAGCATTGCTCCTGTTTCACTGAGAGTCTAATCCCCTCTCAATATGTTAAGATGTACATCAAGAGAGGTAATAATAGGCAAGCAATGTAGCAAATGATATCATGAATGCTGGAATCAGTCAAGCAAACAGTCTTAAATAATACTGGTTTTAGCACAAGTACTGTCTTGCTTCATGAGTACTTTGGTATGTTAGACATGAAAAAAGAAAATGTATTTCAGATGTCCTGCTGAATCATCAGTAATATATTTAATCATATTGTGAAAAGATAAATGCCACCAGACGTGTTGGCACAGACAATCTTACCAAATCCTGTCAGTAAATTAATTCACTGAAAGGCTAATTGTGAGGCTAATAGTAATCAGACTTGGCTGAGAGTCATTCAAGAATCTATGCTTCCTAATATAATAGTAGGTTTTTTGAGTGTTGCTCTTTTTAGAGGATTCACATTACAACTGCTACAATACCCAGTGTTTATGTATTTTTAATAGTCAAACTGCAAAAGGGGAACAAAGGTGCCTTTTGACTATTTTGCTCTTGTTCCAAAGAAACACTGCTTGTGTCCAAACAGCGTAAAATCCTGCTAACTCATATTAATGAAATTACTAATGTTAGCATAAAAAAACTAAAAGGAAATACAAATTTAAAAAGACTTCACATTCTCAAACTTGCTATATGTTCTGCATGATCATTTCTGTGCAAAATTATGCTGTTCACTCCCAAGAAATGTAACATATTTTTAATGAAATAAAAAATCTGAATTGTATTGAGTCATCAAACTATTAAATTTAGTGAGAACTTAGGAGATTAGCTATTAGCTTATTAGGTACTGTATATTAAGGACCAAAACTTAACCCTTAACCCTATATATTCTTTTAGATATAAGTTATGTGTATGCACAAAGTGAAAAAAAAATCCTTGATTTTTTTCCATAAGAGACTTTTCAGATATGTGTATCAACAGCACCTGTGTGCATATATCTCATCAAAACTTGTTCATGTCAGTACAGTTTATATATGTTTATATATATAGGATATGAAAGTTAACTTTTCCCCCTAAAACAAATTTTTCTTTCAAAGCACTTTACTGTGCATCTTGTAAATTATTTATTTTAATTGTTTATAGACATGAACTTGAGACATTTCATCAGCTGCTGCCAAAAATCAAAGCTATCTTGCCAATGGTAGTATTTTGCAAATAACTTTTGATCTCATCTACAGTAACCAAAGGCAGAAGCATAATGGTGACAGATAAAACTAGATCCTGCTTAATTATTCTGTGTTTTCCTTTAGGCTTTCAGTCTGCATCAATGACTGATTATGTTTCACCCACTTGCACCTCACCATGTTAATGGAGTGAGGGCATTCTTAGTTAAAATACAAGTTTCATAGAAATAATGTTTTGAATCCCTGAAATAATATTGTGTATGAGTTCATAAATTCACATGTGTCAATATGCTAACAAATATCTTACATTTGCAGATTCCTAGTATTACCAATTTCAAAGTACTCCTATATTATTACAAACATAGTTTAACATATTTTCTTAACCATGCTCTCAGATGCCACAACTATGAAGGGACCTTATGACAAGAGAGATAATAACTATTGCAGTATGTGTGCATATGTGTGTATATACAGAAATGGAATATGAAGATGAACATTCTTGCTTCATTTTGCTGTCATATTCAAGTGTATATATGAGACTGTGTGAGTATGCATATATAAATGTGAAATACGCATCTATAAAAGAAGTTTCTTACATGCCTAATTCTTTGATCATATAATGGACTTTGTTTTACTTTGGAGGGATTCCACATTCCCTAAATGACCCTAGGATCACGTGGATTCCCAGGTCTGTGGTTAGAAAAACATTCTGTCTTTGGAGCTGGGGATCTACAGTCTGATCCTTCTTTCCCCCACCTCAGCCAGTACAAAAAGTACAGCATCAGAATCATCTCCAAAGTCATGTGGATGACCATGGAGAAGGATAAAGAAACATTACTACCATGATTTGCAGGGCAGAAGGAGAAAGGAGTGTGGAGGTGAATATTGTCTATGCATTCCTCCTGCCCAGCATATGATACATGATCCTCTGAGTTCAGAGTGTTATGGGTAATCCCACTGGATTGAGTCTATAATGGTATTCCCTTGCTTCGCTCATCAGCTCATCTTCCTGAATGAACTGCTTTGCCTGTGATTTGTGTCAAGGATTTACTGTTTGCTCTTGGGACCAGCAGCCTCAGTGCTCCCCATTTGTGAAATGCGCAGATGTTTTCCGGAACATTCTGCAGATAAGGTGCATGTGTGCTTTGACCTATAACCTCTGCTTTGGCGCTTTCTTGAGTGTTCTGATCTGCATGAAGCTTGAGTCCTTGGTCACAGCAATTCAACCCATCATGGTGATTTCCCAAGATGGGTTGGTTGACCCTCCAAAGCACTCAATGAACCTTGATGGAAAATTGGGCTCCTCATGGATGCTTCACTCTCTCTTCTCCCTCACTTTCCCATCACCTCTTCTAGCAGTATCCCAGGGGACACTATAGGAACAATGATTCATCTCTTGGGCAACAGAAATTATAGGGTAATTTTGGCCTGCTGGCTCCTTTAAATGCTTCTTCCCCCAAGGTTGTGAAAACTGCCAGAAGAGTTGGCTTTCTTAATCTCCTTAAGGAGCAGATACAAGCCCAAGGGATCTTGAAGGGACTGTCTGTACCTGCTAATTAATTTTTAAATTTGCACTCTTTTAAAGCTTTTCTTTGTACTCATTTTTGGTGCAAAGAATGAGTGGAAAAAAATTAAACATTGTCCCAGCTGAGGCTAGTCATGGAGCCCACCTTTGGGAATGAGCCCCGTATACAGAAACATGGGTGCCCTTTTGCAGGCTCCTCTCACCTATTTGGTTCTTAATAAATTTCAAAAGATGGTGAGGTTATGGTCTCTCTTCATGTGCCATGCTTTCTCACAAGCATTCTTTCAGCACTTATAGGTAAAGATTCCAGGAATAGCCAGGATGGTACAGATAAAACCAGGCAACTGGGGAGGACAGGCATATTTGGGTGGCAATTCACCCTTTTCCTGAGGACTTGAGGCTTGTGAGATAATAGAATACTATCTTTGAAGCACATTAACTATTAGCTATCACTTAAGCTGTTTGCATGAGGAATAGAAAGTGGGAGAGGAAAGAAAAAAGAAGTGTAAGGCGTAATTCTTGCCCCCAACCCCCACTTTCCTGTAGTTTGGTATTAAGGGATTGGGAAAAGCCAACTTTTACAAAAGTCATGAGAATAGCTTTTTTCTCTTACACACACATGCCTTGTAAAACCGGACAAAAGCCTAGTGAGGTCAACTGAAATGGTGATAAGATTGGCCGTTGGGGCTTACTACTTCTCTGCTTAGTAAGTCCACCCACAATTTGTAAATCCATACCTAATCAACCACTCAATCAACTCAGGACATTCTGTTGCTTGAATAGACCAGGCCTTACCTAATTCTGTTTTTTTAGGGAATCCTAGTGCCCATAGTGGGCTGCCTGCCTAGACACGAGCAGTGTAACACTATTCTTTATACCGTGATAGATGTAAAATTATTAGTAAACTGTAAAGGTCCCTGCCTCCATTTGTTTCTGGATGACTTATTTTGTGAAACTGAAAATAGAAGAGGCTCCATGCAGAGAAAAGAGAGATGCAGATCAATATCCTTGGCTGATAAGCATAGTTAGCTTGCTCCCTACTTTCTTTTAGGTGGGCCCTGAAAGTCATTTGCTTTTTGTCTACTGTTACTATTATTCTTTTAGTGTGTTACTCTTACTCTACTGTGTTGCTTGCACTTTTTAAACTGTCACATGTAATGGTTTTTGAATTCATGATGAAATAGTTGGCTTGAAACACTATATAATGATCATCATTTTATTAATCTAAATGCTGATATTTACATATCTCTTTCATAGATTTCATAGTATTTGTACATCACCTGGAAAAGTATATGTTCAAAAGTGTATGTTGACCTTTGAAATACATAAATAAACAGCTAGGTCCTTGAATATGCTCCAGCTTAATGGTCATATGTCCTTCAACCCAATGCTACTTCCCATTTTGCTTCCATGGATAATGTTAGCAGTTTTAAGGAATCACTCAGATCTTCCCAGATTTTCCAGAATTATACCTCCCAGTTTCATTCCCCCAGATAGTTAATGAAGAAATAGTTCAGTGAAATCACATCTAAGAATTTGTCTGAAGTTTGGGAGGTACTGTTCACTGATTCATTCAAATATTTTTTTGCTAATGCCCATCTTGTTTGTATAATTGACAGTATTTACATATGTAACAAAAATAATATAGGAGCAAGTGCCACAAACAATATACCACGGGGTACTGTATCTGTTATATTGCTATGAGCTTCAAGTAGTCAGAATAAAGTATAAGAAGGCTAGGATCTCCTAGGGCAGTGTGAGCTTACCTGTGAGCTGAAAATACAATGCAATGTTAATGTTAACCCTTTATAAGCAACATTCTTCCAAAAGAGCTACATAAATTATCTGAATTGTTTACTTCATTTAACACATTAGTCTCTCTTCCTTTAGAATATATAATTTATTTCCAAAAAGATATTTTGATTTTAGTGGCATTGTACCTGTGTTTCAGGAATAATAGGGCTGTCCTCAGGAGAAATTCTGAACAAGGTAGATAAAGGTGATGATACAATGACAGGGTTTGGTCTCACAAATCCACTCAGATCACAGCTGGGAATGTCATTCTCTTCCTTTTTCATGACAAGAGTGTCCATGACATAGAAAACATTCCATGGTATCCAAACTGTGTGGTATTGAGTAAGGAATGGTGATCGTTCAAACACCAGAGTTAAAGATGCACCACCATTTGCCACCAAATCAAACCTAATGAAAAGCAGATACTAATTAAAGTTACATGCTGATCACACACATGTGCAATTAAGATATAATGTTTCTAATTTCTAAAAGATTTCATCTGGTGAAATGAAAATTAAATCAAACTAATCACAAAGAATAAAGTAATGAGGAAAAACTGATTTCTTTCTTGATATTGGCATAATTCATGAAAAATGTAAGAAGTATTTAAAGGGTGTTTATTAAAAAGTAGTATCTGCTAAATGTTTAGCAAGGTGTAGTCTGAAGCAATGCCCCTTACATTTTCTTCCCATGTGCAGAATATTAATTCACTAAAACAACTTTTGTTGTGATCAATAAATCAAATTTTCAATATTCTAAGTGCATGCCAGCAAACTTACATTCCATCTTGACGCGTGATTGTGTACCCATAGTCTGGATAATGTAAAAAGGAAACATTAACTCCAATTAGCGGTGTTCCATCTGCTGTTAATACTTGGCCTCTTATGACAGATGCAAGACTGTAGGAAAAGATACACCATTCAAGCATTTGGCACTTCCTCAAATTAGCACTTGCTCACCAGCATAATGAGGCCCACTCACCTAGTTAGTTTACAGAATCACATCATCTAAGGCTGCTGGCCCTTTTCAAGCACTTACTAATTTACTGTCACGCTGCCTGAGTTACTTTAAGTGTATACCTAAATAAGTGAAGTCTGAACATGGCAAACACTTTTATCATGTAAAGAAGTCTATGACTGACTACAGTTTGTTGAAGAACATACCCTCAGCGGAAAATCTGGATTTGCTGCTGAGTATTGTACAAAATTTTCTTCTGTCTATACAATAACATACAGTGCAAGCCTAGCATATTTGTAACTGCAGTCCTAGTTTTCTGAATTCATGCATCTTCTTTGCTAATGCTGCAACCTTGAGCACACTCACTTGGTAGCCTGCTTCACCAGACCAGAATAAGTTACTTCCAAGCCAATGGCTTTAATCTGAGAAATGTAACCAGTTGTCCTAATATCCAGGAGTATTTTTATCTTATTTTTCCACACAGTAGCTCTGTACGAATCTTTTCAATTTCATGAATTTTAAAAACCATTTATGATAAGCCATGGGAGAAGAGGGATGATCTTTGTCTGCCCCCTACTACCATGCACAATCCCTTGATTGCATATAAAGGGGTTTTCTGAATCACAACCAAACATTTTGGATCACTGTACAAAATTAATAAATTATCAATGATGTTTTAAAATTATAAACTCAAGTTTTTCCTTCCAAACCTCCTGTCTTTTGTACTTCCCAGAAGCAAAGTACTTTGCCAATTAATTTTTAGGCAATCTGTAAACCTGCAGGGGCTGCAAAGCACAAAATTTAAAGGAGTAATAAGGAACGTTTGTGTAACAACTTTTAATCAACTGCTGTGCCCAACTACATTAATGCAGCTAAATTACTGCAGACACAGGAGTTCCAGTGTAAATCATCTACTTTCACTCAGTAAGGCACAGGACACCTGCTTTTAGTTGCTAGCTTATTTTCAGGTATATAACTGCTCTGCAAAGCACCAAGCAAACAGCTTATGCAATCATACTGTCATGCAGTTAACAGTTCTATTACATTAATTCATAATTTATATAATTTACTGAGCTCAGCTTTAAGAGAGCATCACTGCCTTTCCTTCTGAGGCATTTTCATCACTTTGATATACTTCCAGCTGTGCTAACCCAAATCTGCTGGGTCAATGAAGATTTATATAATCCTTAATAGAATGCCCCGTTAGAACCTAGACATAACACAATAAAAACTATATAATGCACCATCAGTGTCTGAAGTTTTGAATGAAGATGTCTCAAATTTTCTATATTTTTCAGTACCCTTGAAAAAGAATTTAGTAGTCAGAATGGTGAAAAAAGAGAAAAAGAAAAAACCTTTAACATATCACTGTTGACTTCATACAGCAAAGATGCAGTCACCTTTTATTGAAAGGGCTTTCCCCAGGAATGACATGGGTACTGTCTGGTCCTATGAGAAAACTGATCCGATCATAAAAGGATTTAGCAGCTTGCTGAGATGGTGACTGCTGGCTTTGGCTGATGATATCTTGTGGGTCAGGCAGTCCACGACAGAAGGGTTGGTTTTGGCAGGAACTCTGCAAACAGCAGTCAGGATCCATGCAGTCGATTAACCCATCTACAGACAAAAAACCAGAAGGAACAATTCTTCATCCTATTCTTTTCTTCCTATATCAGTAATTAAAGATAACTCTCATACTTTGCAGGTTACACAGTGTAAACAAAATATTAGTGGTTTAGATGTTTAAATATGCTTTTATTTCAGGCTCCAAGGATTAAAGGGCAGATCTTGTATTTGAAAACCATGTGGAACTGGGTCTATGTTGCACATAACACCTTACAAATCAGCACCTCTAAACAAAATATATAATAGAATTAGAGTGATAAAATAAAAATAGTTAAACACATAGAAAGAAAAATGTATATAAAATACAAAAGAATACAATGAAGATATAAAGATATAAAAAAGAAATCCTTAACTGTAAAAATAAAGCAAAAGCCAGCCTTTTATAGCCAAATCCCCAAATTTCATGTTATGGAAAGAATGTCAGATCCCTTGTGGATGTGGACGTACCAGCAAAGTACCCACACATATATTGTGATTTGATGCTGAAAATTATTGCAATTTGAGGTTCTGCAAATGTGCCAGGTTTGAAATCATTGCAACATTTCACTTTAGTGTTAACACAGATACAGTTAGCACAGATACTGCTGATTTATAAATATCAAATAATTTCCAGTGAGGTTTTAAATAGTTCTTATTTGAAGTTGTTTGGTTTACTAGTAAAGAGAATTAGGTAACTCCAGTTTGGCTGCTTCTTGGGCCCTTTCTAAAGCATTTGACCTGCAAGTAAGCTTCAAATATTTTAGGACATTTATGAAAATTGATTCTTTTTCCTTTCAAGAAAGGCTACATTGCTAATAGTACAGGTAACTTTATCCATTCTTTCACATGACAACAAATATATGGGAACACAGTATCTGTTGAGCAAACTGTATCCTAATGTAAATCAGTTAATGATGAATACTGGCAAATATAAACACATTGTATACACACCAGGGATTTTTAACATTTGTGCAGCACATCCTATGGTTTAAAACCCATCATCACCGGAACATACCATTTCAGCTACATGTTTTCTGAGCTAATAAAATGGAGAACTGACCCAATATCTGTAAGAGATATTCCTTTTTGTTCTACTTGCGTGTTTCTTCTGCTCACATCCTACATTATTTGTTTCTATTTTCTTCTCAGGAAAACAGGTCCTCTAGAGCAACTCAGATTTTTCATATAAGGTCTAGATATCACTTGACTCAAAAGCTTGGCTGGTATTTTGGTTCTTAACTACCATTAAATTAAACACAATCAATGAAAGTGTGTTTAATTAACTGACTCTTGCAAGAAACTTTATGCTATGGCCTCAGTCTCACTAGATTAATAATATGCATATAAAAATAATTCACACTCACCTTTTCCTTTCCTTTTCTCCATCTCCTTAAGCTAACTCCCAAATTACTTCGACACTGCAGACTTCTAAGCATGAACCTTAGGGTAAATCTAATTGAACTCAATGGGGCTTATGATTAAACATGTATTTGTCATTGTGAAAATTCTATGTTAAAAATAGTTGGAGTCACTAACAATGTCTCTGCTAAGAATAGTTTATTTATATGTACACACTTTTATATATCTTTGGGTACAGGTGTAATTGCCAAATGTGTCTTTTAGAATGTGCAAGTGATGACAAATGTTGGTTGCACAATGAATTCATTCACCTATTTTGTTTTGCCTGTTACTAGTTCAATTAAGAACTCATTAAAAGAAAAAAATCTTAGTAATTAGTTACACTGTATTCAATTGAACTTACTCCAGATAAATACATACAGGATTTCAGCCTTAAAAAGTCTAACAATAGAGACATGGCTTTCCAATCTGATTTCACCCAGTCTATATTTGTATCAGAATGTGGGTCCTAATATCTTCTATACTGATTGTTAAAAGCTGTAATAGGCTCTTCTGGGGGCTCTACTTTGTTTGCTTTTACACCTCCATGTTGTCCTGGAGGCAATATTTAGCGCAGTTGCCAAAAAGAAAAGCTCAAATTTAGTCATTCATCTTTGTTACTTTATAAAAAGCAAATGTACATCTGGCATGTAGACTGCAGGTCATAAAACTGTGTGAGATTGACATCTTCTGAACTAATCAGCTGGAAATGCATTTTTACAAGCCTCTCCACTCACATCAATCAGTGAAAGAATCTCATTTTCACCAGTCAAGATACAGGGACACACTGTTTGTTATTTTTCTATGAAGTTTATCAGCTACTTGCCCAAGCGAGTGACGGATGGTTATGAATCTAGCTCACTCTAAGTTACAAAAACATTTTTCATTCACTTGCTCTCGCCCTGTATTTATGCAGTTAATGCTTTCTACAAAATATTCTATTCCCTTATGCATACAATAGCAAAGGTGAAATGCCTCCACAAAATCGTTGGTCTATTGTAATCAGGATGAATATTGTAACTGTCTCAGACAGTTAAAAAACCGTTTCTACTGAATTAAGAAAAACATGTAGAGAAAATCACAAAATGTTAAAGTCTACTAAATTATCAGTACTGATACTAGATGACAGTCTTGCATTTAGAATACTTTAATACACATTTCAAGGTTTAATATCTTATCAACAAAAAATTAAATAATGAGCTTTTAGAACTGTCATTATACCAGATTCCTATATAAAAACCCATGAATCATCCATTGTTGAATATTGCATACACTTTTGAACTTCATATTTCAAACAGGATGACTAGCCAGTATTCAGATAAAAGGAACAAAATCAGGACTACAGAAAACTTTCTAGTAGAAATGGATTAAACTTCTTGAGCTAAGGAAGGCAGTACCTAAGGATGAACAACTGGGACATATATAAAAAGTGGAAAAGGTGGAAAAACATAAAATATAAGTTAACTTTTTTGCACACTGACCAACAAACAATGAAATCTAAAGGAAGCAGTTTTAAGTAAAGGAACTATGATTACTTCATGGAGCAAACAAAATAAAACATTAAACCATCTTTAAACCATAGATTTACCTCACTGTGAAGCTTATAAACATGGTTTCATGATATATTGGCACAGCAATAGCTATGAGACTGGATATTCAGTGGCCAAAAATGATGGTTGTGTTTTTGAAGAGGGCATTAGAAGCATCTATATTTGCTCACCAAGATTGGTACAGAACTGAAATCCCCAGTCATAAATGCAGCAAATCTGTCCAACAGCTTATGCTGGCATGAATAAAGGAAAATGAAGAAATGAATTTGTCACTGACCAGACATAAAAACAGCAGCAGAAAAGTTACTTATTTTAGCAAGTCCTGAGCAAAGAATGCTGTTTATAAGGGGAAAACAGTCTTATATAGGACCTTACCTTTTGCAAAAATTATGGCTTGCCTTGTCAGGTCCTTATAACATATTCAAATTAGGCATGGCGCTGGACAATATCGCTCAAATTATTTTGAATGATGAAAATGGCTTCAAGATTCCAAAACGAAACATGGTGCTGAGAGCAGTGGAAGTTAATTCTCTCCTTGCACAATTTTTCTCCTTATTTAAATTCTCCACCTCCTCAAACCTGCTATTTATCTCATGGGCAAAAACCTACAGCTCCTCTGGATATATTTTTAAAAGGAAAATGGAAGTTGTTATTTGCACTTGATATGAATATATGCACTTTTTATTAGAGTTGTTCCTTCAATACATTTTGTATTACTCAAATACAAAAATATATTGAAAATTTTAAAAAGACATACCTAATTAATAGTGACCATTTGTTCTATTTTGCAGAGAACAGTGAACTGTTTTCAGGTTATCTTCTATTTAAAGGGCTGTCTCATCTAAATCCAATTTAAAAATAAAGAAGGATAAGAGAGCCCTGGAGCCCTGAAGTTGCTCATCAGCACTTTCAGAGCAGGCTGTGCAGGCACATAGGTTTCCCCCCACTACAGGAAGATGCACTGTATTATTTAAATGACAGTACTGAATCATAAATTTGTATATATGCTTACAAATATGAATATGTACATTTGTATTTGTTTTATTGTCTTTTGGTCATTATTAGTAAATACTAGTACAGCAGTACCTCTGCATATGCTGGCTTAGTTACCATGTTTGCAGTTAATCATGGCTGACCTCTGCCAAACAGAAGTCTTAAAGTGTTTCCTATAAGAGGAAATCCTTGCTTTAATACAGGAGAAACTTTAAATTTTGAACACATAAAAGAGAGATAAAATATAATTGAAAAACTTAGAAATGTAAGAATCCAATGTAGCAATACATTGTGCACCAACTTATTTTATGACTTCTGAAAATGAATGAATGAATAAATATGCACAAAAGAGGGAAGTGCAAAAGTTGGCTTGAAACTCAACATTAAGAAAGCTAAGATCATGGCATCCGGTCCTATCACTTCCTGGAAAATAGATGAGAAAGAAATGAGGGTATTGACAGATTTTATTTTCTTGGGCTTCAAGATCACCGCAGATGTTGACTGTAGCCAAGAAATTAAAAGATGCTTGCTCCTTGGAAGGAAAGCTATGGGAAATCTAAACAGCATACTAAAAAGCAGAGACATCACCCTGCCAACAAAAGTTCGTATTGTCAAAGCTATTGCTTTCCCAGTTGTAATGTATGGCTGTGAGAGGTGGACTGTAAGGAAAATTGAGCGCCAAAGAATTGATGCTTTTGAATAGAGGTACTGGAGAAGACTCCTGAGAGTCCTTTGGACTGTAAAGAAATCAAATCAGTCAATCTTAAATGCAATCAACCCTGTTTTTTAGAAGGCCAGATACTGAAGATGAAACTCAAATACTTTGGCCACCTAATGGGAAGGAAGGACTTGCCTGGAGAAGACCCTGATACTGGGGACGATTGAATGCAAAAGGAGAAGGGGACGGCAGAGGTTGGTGGCTAGATGGGGTCACTGGGGCAGTGGGTGAGGGCTTGGGTGGACTCTGGGAGACAGCAGAGGACAGGAGAGCCTGGAGGATCTGCAAATTTATGGCAGATCTACAGGACGCTGCAGTTCTGCTTCTCCAAGGCTGGAAACAGAGCCATGGATCTCCAGTCCATACCCTTCTAAGGTTCGGTAAGCTTCGTGGCCATGGTTGGTGGCCATATTACCTTGGGAGCGGAAGAAATGGAGATGCTGGTACTAGGCCAATGAGCAGGGAGGGGCATCTACCAATTTCAAAGACTTCTAAACTTGCACTGCTGCCCCCATCCAGGCAGAGAGGCCAATCTAACGTAACATGCATTTCTGGAGTACAAAGATGCTGCAAAAGCCCCTGCTGTTCTTCTAGTCTTGCTTGGAGTCTGACAGAATAGCGACCTCACTGCTATATAGAGTGTCACATTTACAATCAGTTCAGTCTCTACCTTCATATATTTAAAAAATACAAATTAGGAAAGAAATACATATAAATTGTACTTCTGTATAACTTAGCACCTGAACAATCCAAGTTCCTTTGGTACAGCCTTCTTTTCTTTACGCTATTAAGCCTCACATTTATCTTATTTTAACCTCGATGGAGACTAGTAACATTCATCTTTTATGGCATTAGATACTTCTGGTTCTCATGCAAGGTTCATTTGCTTTATGTTCCTACCTGTATTTAGATTGTGAACAGAACACAGGAGAGTCTAGTAACATTTCATGTTGCTAAGTTTTCCATCTGCTTGCTGTTGAATGTGTGAATAGCGAGACTTTAAAGGATTCTCATAATATGCATAAAACATCCAACATTCTCTGCAAAATGAGGAATACTTTAAGGGTAAAGGTTTAGGTTCTATTCTAGATCTTCCTGGAGCCACCCTAGTATTTCTGAATCTTAAGTATAATCTGTACAGACTTGATGAATATTTAGTATAATGTACCTTAGCAACATATTACACATAAGAGGCTATTACATACTAGTGTGATGTCTTAAGGACAAAGGGGCAATCATTTAAAAAGAAGGCAGGGTGTTTAAATAAAGGCCTTGTGGTAACTACCCAAAGTCAGAAATTATTTATTATGTATGTATTCTACTTTTACTCTGCAGTGTTCATGGATCTCCTTACATATTGCTAGACAAATAGTAACCCTGCGAACCCTCTCTTGGATATATACTTTAACATGATGAGAGCACCAGAGAAGCAGAGAGCAATGTTAACAGGAGACCAGAATCCCTGACTAGGCTGGAGTCCTAGTAGGATAAAATTGGTGGCCACAGCTAAGACACTAGAGTAGACTAGACTCTTCACAAGTAACTGTCACATCAGCAGAAGAGAAGGGATATTTCTAATGGTGACTGAGTGCAGAAAGGGCAGCCAATGGGGTGGCAGTGGCAGTGGCAGTGAACATTCATAGACAATGCCAATACAGTTCAAACTAACTCAGGTAAGTGCCATGTAGAAGAAGGCAAAGTTAAGTCACTTCTGAATTTTCTTACCTTGAAAAACCTATGATAAAGCAATCCAAAAGGCAACAAGATATAGTGCCAGAAGGTGAGATTCTCACATCAGAAGGCACACAACTAGTTACTGGAGAAGCACAAATGACAAGTACGAATAGCACTGTAACTAATGACACAACTAGATGAAAACCAAAGGAAGTCTAGTGGACAGCATGCACACAGCCAAAAGTCATGGAGCATGAGAAACATGAATCAAAGCAAACTGTAAAGCAAGACATGGAATGGCCACACACTGCAGTACTTGGTATGAGCAAACTAAATTGGACTGGAATTGGAAATGTCAGTCAAACAAACACGAAATGTTTTAATCTGCAAATGACAACCTCAAGAAGAAATTAAGTGATTCTGATACTGAGGCAAGACGTAGCACAGGCAAATAAGGAGATATAATGCAAAGTCTGGCTGAATCATAGCAATTGGAAATGTCTGAAAAACTTATAAACAATACTAATCATTCATTTCCATGCTCCATCAGCAGGTGCTGAGGAAGAACAAATCAAAAACTTTTATGCAGGTGTTCAAGAGAAATGCCCCCCCCCCCCAAAAAGACATGCTGATCATCATAGGAAACTGGAATGCAGAAACAGAAAACAAATGTGGGAGAATGAATTCTGTGAAGCCAACAATTTGTTAACTGGAAATGCATATTCATTTCAGGCAACCAATCCAATAACAGTATAGATGGACACCATCAGAAATCCAATAGATTACATAATTAGCCAAGACAAACCCAGGGGCAGACTGTGATAGTGACCATTATTTCCTAATGACAAAAGTCAGAATAAAGATCACTAACAGAAGCATAGCGGCAAAATAATATTCCTGAAAGATTTAATGTCCATATAAAGAATAGATTTGCATTCCTGAACACAACTGGCCACGAATCAGAAGAAGAATAGAGTGAAACCAGAGACATTATTAGGGAAGAATGCAAGAAAAAAAGGCATTTCTTGTAAAAAAAAGGAAAAAAAGATCAAGAGTCAAAAGAAACACAATGGCTAAGGGCAGGTGACAAGTAGAGGAGGAGGAGGCAGCGGAGGTAAGGGCAGAAACAATATATGGAAAAACTATATAAGAAAAAAAAGGCGACAGATGCCTTTAAAGAGGAATCCTATGAGCAAGAGTGTGCAGTGTTCGGAAGTGAGGTAAAAGCTGCTTTGAGAGCACAATAAAGCACCTGGAGTAAACAGGGTACCAAGAGAACTATTCCAGATTGCAGAGACTAAATCCAAACAGGAATATGCCAACAAATATGGAAAACTAAACAATGACCTATAGACCACAAATATTTAATTCACATTCCAATCCCCAAGAAAGGAAATGCAAAAGACTGCAGAAGCTATAGGAATATTGCACTTATTTTCCATTGAAGCAAAGTGATGCTTAAAGTGTTGCAACAAAGAATATGAAGTGATAGGAAGTGATAAAGCTCTGGATTCTCAAAAGGAAGATGCATGTTACAACTATACAATGGCTATTAGACAGCAGCAAAGAAGTTCAGAAGATGATCATTGTAGGCTCTATAGACTACAGCAAAAAACTTTGACAATGCAGAACAGTAAAAGTCATGGATGGTTCTGAAAGAAATGGGTGTGCCTCAGTGTTTTATTGTTCTTGATCATCTTATCCTGTGTTGTGGAAGCCATTTTCAAAGTAGACTATGGAGAGGCAGAATGGTTTCCCATAGGCAAAGGCATCAGACAAGGGTGTTTTTAAAATAAGAATTAGGATCAGAGTAAGGTTGAGTGAAAAATGGCAAAAGACAAATCAGTAATTTAAGATATCCAGATAATACTATATTAGTAGAAGACAGAAATGAATGGAAAATACTCCTGATGAAATTGAAAGAATAGTGTTAGGGTTACAGTTAGGGCTATGTCTATAATAGAATTACACAGCTTTAGTGTCAACAATGAAGAGACTGAAGTTGTGAAAGATTTTACATATCTTGGCTCAGTCCTCATTTCTAAAGGTGATTGCAGCCAGGAAATAATAAATTTAAAGATGACTGAGACTTGGAAAGGCAGCAATAACAGAACTAGCAAAGATCATTAAATGTAAAGACCTTTCATTGGAGAGTGAGACTAAGGTCATCCACAATATTTTATTCCCAATTATTATGTGAAATCTGGACAGTGAAGAAAACTGAAGAAAATCAAAACATGGTCCTGGAAGAGAGGTGTGTGAATGCCCTAGAGCAACAGAAAAGACAAACAAGTGGGTCCTAGATCAACTGAACTCAGAACTTTCCCCAGAAATAAAAATTTTAGGTCTTCAGCAATGAGAGCTATAAACAGAAGAACTGAGGAAGTTGACATTACATAAAGAAATAGTGTTCTAGCAAAACAGTTAGTGGGATGATTATCACTGTCAATAGATCTGTGACTTTTTTGAATTGTTTCTCAACCTATGATGTTCCACATACAACTTGAAAGTTTCCCTAAATGTGGATTTCACAACTAGTCTTTGTTGGTATGCAGCATTATTACAAAGCTCACTGAATTACAATATAATGCTTGCCCTTACATAAAATACTACCACTTGGAACCTAATGCTCACTAATGGATTTCGATGTACACATTTTGCCTGCTGTAACCATCTCTTAAGGATTTGATAGCATACTAAATGAAGGCAATAAATATTGTAGCACATTCCTGCCTGTATCTCATCACAGGTAGTAAAAGCTCAGTATCATTCTCACAGCAGTATTTTTTCACCTGATTGGGAAGCTGATAATTTCACTTTTCTTTCCTTTCCTTTTTTTTAGTGCAGGAATTTCATTCTCCTACCTCCTTCATTGTCCTTGCTATCAGTACATAAAGTTTCCATGGCGACATCACATCCGGCTCCTCTCCATCCTGGCTGACAAACACAATGCCAGCCATTTTGGTCCAGAGTACATCTTCCATTGCTATTACACAGGCCAGGGCATCCCTCTGTCAAAACAGATAAAAAAGGACACTGCATGTAATTTAACTATTATATTAATTTTAAATCTAATCAGAGTACAAACAGGGGACACTTACTGGGAACAGGCCTTCAGTACAGCACAAATACTGTAATTGCACATGGAGAGTAGCAGCAACATTATCGGGCATTCTAATTCTTAACTAAGTGGCATCTTTGATTGGCCTGACACTTGAGACACCACTTACCTGTGCAGGCAGGAATTATATCCAAGAAACCACTAAATACCTGCTGGCCAGACAAAATTATGTTTACATTTTGTTTAACAAATCAGCAGGCACTGTGATCATTATGCACCACACAGCCTCTACGTAAAATAATGCGGCTTCTGCATGTATAGAAGACATAACATTTTGTGTATAGGCATTGTTGCTTACTTGACAGATTATGTTAAATTCCTTGTTTTAAATTAATCCTTTGAAATTCCAAAGTAGGCATGCTCTTCTGCACTCAATAAAAGTGAACATTAATTTTGTCTGGCCTTAGAGTTGCCGTGGATTCATGTGAAATTACAGTGCATTAAATAATTGCACAAAGTATAGGTCAGTTTCAATGGCTATACTTTATGCCAAAAGTACATTCCTTTTCACAGAATAAGCAAAGCCCAGGAAATAGTGAAGCAGCTTAGCATCTAGTCTAACAAACATTAGGATTCAGGCTGCATACGGATGGGACAGGACCGACAGGATTTCCAACTAAATGTAATAGCTGTGCGGATTTGATTACTTAGGACGGACAAAATGAAATACCATAAGGACCACAATAAACATTGATAGACTGAACAAAAACACGGTAGTGACGTGCTTCAAGACAGATAGCGGAGAGTGATTTTTGTGTGACAATCTCCCTAAGGCTTTTGTGCTGTTACCTTTATATCCTATCTTGTCTGCTTTTATGGCCAAGGAGGGAAAATTTGGGAAACAATTAAAATTATTTAATATATCCAAGATCTATTTTCTTTCCATCTAACAGTACATCAAAAACAGTCTCTGTCACTTCCTACTGATGAAAACGTGGCATGCAGCCAACATGACCTGTATGAGGATGATGACAGGTTATAGATATATATGTAGAATTCTGGTATTCCTTATCTATGACTGTGGGTAAGACATTCACATAAGCAAGTACAGAAGCAGAATTGTAATCTGTGGCTACAAACCAGATAGTTTAGGACAAAGCAGTTATTTGTAACTCTACACAGCATGAAATATAAGTTGTGCCACTACCTTTTAGAGTTTTATCTGAATATGTCCTTTGGGAATTAGAATAGTGTCCTATTTCTTTTAGTTTGCCATGTGGTTTCCTGTGGCTTAAATAATTATTAATATACTCCTTTCTCCACCTATGCAGTACAAATTAAACAATACTTCTATGAGCATCATTGCCTCTAGTAAAATTAGTACAGATGGAAAGGAATCATAGTAGAGACTCGTGACAAGGTATGATTAAGTTATAGTTATGGATATCATGTCATCATGCCAGGCTATTAGATTTGGCTGTCTGTTTTCTTTTGGCACTTTCTGCCATCTGCACATTTTAATTGCATATACAGACAGACGGTGCATTTTACTTCTGAAATACAGTTCTTCCGCTTGGTTACATAGGACACACAGCTTTATTTGTCCTATTGGAAAAGCACTGTGGACAATCTAACACGATCAAGAGTATACGAAAGCCTGGATATTGCCATGGATATTGCCATACTCTAATGAAAAAAGCACAAATAAGGAATAGAAGAAAGGCAATCTGGAAAAAGGGAACAATTGGTGGTAATTAAAAAAACATATTTTTGCCAAACTTCTACCATAACTGAAGATATGAAATATTTGCTGTTTAGTAGTTTGCATTACTATTCATCAAGTAGTTGGTTGTATTAACCTTTCCATCTCAATATTTCTCTCCCATACAATGTATAATTATTTGATTCCAAGCATCTCTTCTTTTAAATTGAAGATTAAAAACTGTAAGTAAAAGCTGACTGCAACCATTATTTTTCACACTTTGACTATGAGCTTCTATAAATTTAAAGTGTTGGTTGTCAAGTTCAGTTACCAGGATCCAAAGCATTGTATGAAGTATAACGCCTGAGCATGCAAACTTTTAGCTTCCCATTCCAGGAGCAAGCCCCTGGCACATAAGGTTCCCATAGTCATGGAGGCAAGAGAAGACTATGGCTGGAAATAGATACTGAAACCCCTGTATGCATGTGCATGGACTGCTTTCTGCCCATTCTTGGTGGGGTATGACTGGATCCTAGCCAACACTCATGGTTTCATTGTTAAAAACGTATTCTTGAGTTTATTGCATTAGTTATCCTGTGAAAAACATTTAATTTGCATTATGTTTTAGCATACGAGGCCTAGACCATTCCTTCCAACAACAAATGCTAGAAGGCTTAAAAACCCTAAACAGCAAATGAATGGCTATCTTCAGTTTTTTCTATTATCAAAGCTAATACACTTACACAGGCTATAGTGAAAGATACAAATTGCTTAGTAAAAATGTTAACAGGCAACAAAAACATAAAAAGTCTTTATCTCTTATATCCAAGGCACATGGAAAGTAACATGGATGAAATTTATAATTCATGGAGTACACATAAGAATATGTTGCATTTGCCATGTCTAGTGGAATGATTACTATAATATACACAGTGATACATGGAAGTATGTCAATGAAGGGCAAATATACAGTACCTTTAACTATTTTATCCAAATAGTGAGCTTGAAAATTAAAAGAAAAAAGAGAACAGACAGACATTTCAGAAGAGTCATGTAGGACAGGAACAGTTCAGAATTCAGACACAGAAAAAGTAGTAATTTCCTCAAAAGAGAGGAAAGGCAATTTCTCACTGTTTAAAACGTGTTTATTTTTCTATTGCACATATGCAGTCATATTTGGAGTAAACAGTCATTCTTTAAAATGAATATTAAGATTCAAAAACTCCCAGCATATTTGAAATCTACTGCTTCTTTTGTCCTTTCTTGTAACTATTTTGGTTGTGCCTTGATTTTTATTTAGACCAAACCTAATAACAAAGGATTCTGATTTTTCATTCATTTAGCCCAGTTCTGTAGCATTTGAAAGACCATATATTTGCTTTCACTGGGTAGAATTCAATGGGGAGCTTTCACTCCCACCAATTCTGTTGCATAAGCAGCACTCACTGCTAGTACAATGGTGATTTAGAGCTTTCAGTGCAACCTGAAATGAGCACGAATGCTCATTTTCCAATGCCTCTGGGAAGCTCACAAACAGCAATATCCCTATCACACTGTTTCCCAGCAACTGGTATTCAGAAACATGGTAGTACATAGCAAGCTTTATCCTTCATGGATTTAACTGATCTCCTCCTCCTCCTATTTAGTTCCACACTTTGGACTTCGCTTGCGCCATTGGCACTGATCCTACTTTAATGTCATTCAGGCAGTCCAGGTGAAGGCCTGCCCACCCAGTCTCTGCAAGATACAACAGACTGACATCACTATGTAATTCATTCACAATTGCCACTTGCTGTCTTATGCGTCACTTACTTTAAAATAGTTTTAGATAATGGCAATTTCCAGATAAAGGGAGGAGTTGTATACGAAACAACCAAAGTACAACTGGTAGCCAAAAGAACAGGAAATCTAAAGGGCTAATCTGTCTATTTTGGTAGCCATCACCACATCTTGTAGAAATAAACTCGTAAGTTAACTATGTATTTTGTAAGAGATATGTAGTGACCAGATTTATACATAGCTTTGTATTCCAGGGCTACATTTTTAGTATGGACAAAACACAGATTTGAATAAAGGCCCTGAAACATTGTAATTCACCTTTTTAACAGCTGCTACACACTGGCTTAACATTTTCACTGAACTATTCACCATGAGTTCAACACTAAATGTGTGGTCACTTTACAACCAACTCAGATGCCATCAGTGTTATGTGGCTAGGATTCTTTTCCCCGAATGTGCACAATTTACACTTACACTGAACTACACTTGTCATTTTAACGTCCATTCACCCAATCTAGAGAGATACTTTTGGAGCTCTTGCAATCTCTTTTACTTTTTGCTACCTAGAATAATTTGGTTGTCTACATTTGACTGTTTCATAGTTATCCTTAACTACAATTTATTTATTTTATGAACAAGAGAAAAGCACAGATCAGAAAGGGAACCCACTTCTTACCTCCTTCCACTGTGAGAATTGGTAGGCAATACTCATCCAGTTACACAATATACTCATTCCTTGCAATGCACTAATTCAGTTATGCTAAACAGGAACTATGTTATTCATACTGCAGCAGTACATTGGCATTGAAAAAGAAACCAATAGATAGGTTTGAATTTTAAAGTCAACCAAGCTTATTTACAACATCACATTTAACAAGTAACATAAACTGAATGTGAATTTACCATGGCTAGTCTGTCTGGATGCCAGGAAGGAACTGGATGACAGTTAGGACCCCTAGGGTATGGAATGGGCTTCCACGGGAGGTGGTTGAAGCCACATTCGTGAGGGTGTTCAAGGATAGGCTGGACATGTACATGGTAGGTATGTCATGAGTGGAGCTGCCTAGAACCGGGGGTCAGACTAGATGGCTTGGGAAACCCCTTCTGACTCACTCTCTTTCTACGTTTCTAAAAGTCCCTGACTCCCTCCACCCCACACAGGCAGGTCAATGGTCAAATCACAACTGCATAATTTTTATCACTGCTATTTATTACAAATGTACTATATACACCATGTGCTTTATTTTCCAGTCATGTAAACGAAAATATTTAATCTAAAATATGAGTATACAATTATATGGTGTTTTTTACTGTTGAAAACTTGCATGTAATCATAGATGAAAGGAGTAGAAACATTCTAAAAACATGTGTCAAGCATATTCACATCTAACTTGCCTAGGCAGCTCTACAGCTTGATGCAGTATGAGGATCAAAGTTTAGGACTTTTTATGTTATCAAGGTTTAATTCTGATTACTATATGTCAGTTCACTGTCAGATTATATCAATGGTGTTGAATGCGCTTTGGTATGGTGTAGAAACAATTCCACATAATGTAGTAGACTGAGAGGATGGGAGGATGGAAATCAGGGCTTCAGATTGAAGGTGAGGAATCTATTTTTCAACGCTCTCCTATATAAGAAGCTTCCTCCATATAGCAAATGATAATGTCAGGAGCAGGCTACCTTTGAGTGCATCTATGCAGTCCTAACTGTGCAGATAGTAAATGTAAATTATGGAAAAGAAAACTTATGATAGAATATAGGAGTTCACTAACAGAATTCTGAGATAAAGGAATGCAACCTTCCTTCCACACCTGTCCTTTCCTTGAAACAGCTACCCAGCGAGGAAATGCATGTCCAAATCTGAGCATCCTCTAGAAGGAGCTTTGGGAGGGAGTGCTGCAAATAGGCAAGTGGCAGGGAAAGGAGCACGAATCTCTTTTTGAGAATAAACACATCTGGAAAAGCAGCTTAGGGACAGTTTGTTATGAAGTAGGGAAGCAGCCGGCAGAAAAAGGATTCTCATCCATCACTTCTCTTCATATCACTCCCCCCTGCACAAAATCAAATTTTACAATTTTACAATCAAAACTCATGCTTCTCTGTTTTGCTAGAAAAAGTCCAGTGCCTTCAAAAAACACAAGCATGCCGGCATAGCTCAGAATTTCCTCTAGGTTAAGGAGGCTGAAAACAGGTCAAAATGTGAATCCTGTGTTGGCTTAGTACTAGTACGGACTTCAGTTACAGAATTAGTAGGCTGTAGTGGGAATTAATTAGAATACAGAAAGTATTACATAAAATATTTCCATTGCCTTCCATAATCCTGCAAAGTATGAAACACTGAGTAATTGAGGAATGGATACAAACAGAAAAAAATGTCATTGTTGTGATTTCTTCTGCAGTAAATTGTTAAAACTAGCAGGAACATTTTCATTTAGTAGTAATTTTTTAACAACAGGCCTCAGTGCAGGCTTTCTAAAATTTAATGCTTTTCATTAGCTTTCTATGAGAAATGTAAGTAGCTATCCTCCTTAGATTATTCATACACTAGCTCCTGTAGATATGGCAGAATAGCTACAGTCTGTGAAGAAGTATATATTAAATCCATTTATTCCAATCATCTCCTGTTTAAATCAGCATGAACAGCATGCCCAGTGATTTGATGTTCCTTAATTGGTACTCACTGCACTGTTTTATTACTGATTACCCTGCCATAAAGGATTATAGCACTGACATAATTTTCAATGCAGTATAACGAATTCATATTCATATTAGTTTATTCTTTCCCTTTATGAGATATTTTTACTTAACATGATCTTTCTTCTCTAGGGCTAAAATAAAAAGGAACAATGCTAACTATCCTGCTTTCTGTTTAGTTTTTCAAGATGAGAGTGAAGTAAGATGTCATACAAAACTCAGTGGATAGTTCATGAAATGCAAGGCTCATAAATATGTGTTAAGGACTGATGAACTGAGGGAAGAGAATTTGTGTCACTAAAAACTAGGAAGGGAGAACAGCTTTTTCACTTCCTGAGCCAAAACATAGTTATACTAAGAATGTCAATCTATTTTTAATTTAGCAATGCAGATCTCCAATTAAAACATTGTGTAAAAATGAATATAATAGGGAAAATTGTATATAAAATCTCTATTAGTAAATAACATACAAAAATACTTTATACTAGGGAAAACTGCTTGCAAAAATATACATATGATCAAGAGTACAACCATGCATATGGTTTTCTTTAGGAGAAAAGCACATTTTAAGCAGACTTTAAAATAGATGCAAAAATAGAATAAAATGAATGAAAGGATTAAAAAAGAGAAACTAAGCAGAACCAGAATTGATGTATTTGTCCATTCTGAATGAGAACTGTCTGCTGGTACTGTTGTATCGGTTTTTAGTGATGTTTTGGCAACAGTCATGATCAACAGATGTAATTTACTAATTATTGCAAAGCTACTGCATGATAGAGAAGTAGATGGACAGGAAGAAAAGAATCAGGGGAATTGTCAGGACATTTTAGCAACAGGTACAATCCAACATACCTAACGTTGCATAGCAACCAGTTCTAAATAGATATGATGGAGTGATAGCACAGTAACATGGATTTCTTCCATTTGCAAATGATGCAGCTACACAGGCTACTCAGTCTACTGTTTCTAAATACATATATCACACACATATCTGTGAAACTGAAATGTCTATGTCTGGAATGCATTTATGCATTTGTGGTGAAGCATGTAATAAACCATTATGCCTACTTTCACACTCTGGTGCCCTTTGGAGGTTTGTACTACAATTCTTAGCATTCCTGAATATTCACCATGCTGGTTAGGGCTAATGGTAGTTGAACTCCCAAACATCTGGAAGAAACTAGGTTGAAACAGGCTACATTATGAAAAACTCCTCTCCCCTCCCCTCTCATTATCCTTACATTAAATACATTGCTTTGCATGATGGAAAGATGATGCTGGAGTCCCTCAGACATCCTCCTTGTGGCAATGCTGCCTAATGACCAAAGCCACCTGTAATTTAGATTCATGGCTATATGGAAAAGAATCATGAAGCAACTATCATAAAAGAAGGGGAAAGAAGCACAGCAAGAACAACCAACAGAGGATGCACACAGAAGAATGCTGTGCTTCAATTAGAGTGGACACAAGTGAATATGTTTAAGTGGAAATGGTTAAATCATTAACAGCTAATGGAAAGCTAATGG